CTAGGAGCCCTCACTACCGTTCTCCCTTAAAAGTATCCCAACACATTCCAAAAAATATTCCAACATTTGCTTGCACTATTTTTACAAAATGCCGCTCCGACGTACATGCTATCAGCTGGACTTGTCAAGACAAAGAGAGTCTAAGAGATGCCTCAAGCGTGTCAAGGCATCAAACTGACGACTATAAAAATCTTTATAGACACATTAAGGTTTGAAATGTTCCAATGATCCTTCTTGTACAAAGACATCAAACAAAATCATGTGATCATTCTCATCCATGTCATACATCATAAAGCTAACCTTTCATAAGTCATAATCTCAACTAAATGGATTTCCGAGTTCTCGCTTCATTTGGCTCGTCCTGACTTTCTGCTTTCTGTAAAAGACCTTCAAGACACAACCATGTGATCTCCAAGAGCCGTTGTCTTCCAATAGGCCATATCACACATAACCTCTCATCCACCAATTATTGAAGGAAAACAAATCCATTCATCTATATATAGATACCCGCACTCATACTTGCATGCATTTCAGAGAACTTTCTTTTCTTTTCTTTTTGTTTTTTGTTTCCCTCTCTTAAGCACAAAACATGGGGTTTCGTTTGCCAGGAATGAGAAGGCCTTCATTTGCCACAAAAGTGGCTTCTTGAAATTTAGTTGAAGTACCAAAGGGATATCTTGCAGTATATGTTGGAGAGGAAATGAAGAGGTTTGTAATTACTATATCATACTTGAGTCAACCTTCGTTTTGAGAGTTGTTAAGCCAAGTCGAAGAAGAATTTGGGTATGATCATCCAATAGGTGCCCTTACTATTCCTTGCAAAGAAGATGTCTTCCTTAACGTCACTTCTTCCTTCAATGGGTTCTAGGTTGCAAGGACAAGCCTAACTACAATTATAGTCAGCAAATTTTGTAAAGGAAGTAATTCAGATCCTTTTGCTTTGTAAAGATTTTTTGGGTATTTTTTTTTTCTTTGTAAAAAATTGTATGTCCAGTTAGAAATTTGTGAATAGAAACATTTCATTTTTATCTTACTAAGTTCTGAGTGTCTACGGTGTTGAACCTTTTTTGATTGGTAAATTAAGCCAATCAATGGCTTGTAGGTCTATCAACTCAATCAATCTCTCGGTCCACTTTGTTTTATTAAAAATTCTTGGGATCAATTCTCTTTGGTGGATTATGGATATTGAATTATTAATCTAGTCCTATGTCACAAGTAATAATATTTTCTCCATAAAAACAAGTTAGATCCAAGTAAAAATTTGGACGTTTAAATAGATATTTATAGCACTGGCCATTAGATTTCATAATATAATTCATTTTGGCTTATGGTTTAGAGCATCAAGACCATAGAACGAATATTTTATGTAAAATCTGATTGTTCAAGTCTAGATATATATAGTAAACTTCATGCGTAATGTCCACGTGGTCTTGCCAATATACAAGTTTAATATCAATCAATATAGGTCCTCCTTAAGATGTCAAAGAATTAATCTATATATTATCTGGCTTGGTAGCTGCATTATTGCTCCGATCTCTTGATTTAACATCTTGATATCCTTGAAAAGAAAAGAAACTATAAGACAACATCATGTGATCCCTTACGGTCCTTGTCCCTTTGTAGTGTCTTGATCCTTAAGTTCACCAGAAAAACATCACTGACTTGCTTGTATTTTTATTTTATTTTTAATAACTCTTGAGGACCTTGGAAGACACATAAATGATACTCAAGAACATCAAATTTTGAAAATGACATTAAAAGACCATGACTGCAAGGTAAAAAAATAAAATAAAATAACTAGCTTTATTTTATTATGGAGGGCCAGTTACAAGGATTAATTGCCTGATGCTAATATACTCTATCAACAATAAGAATTATTAGTAAATACTGGAAGCTTGACTGTAAATAATTTATTTAGTTATATATTTACATTTTTTTGATCATGATTTCCAACTAAAATTAAGTTTCGGGACTTTAAGATTCAAAAAAGAAAGGAATATGAAAATGGGCCTTTTGATAATTTAAAATTAAATATCATTGTCATTATGCAGAGAAATGCAGGCGAGTGTTATTTTCCCTTTTATCTCATGCACAGCTAGTCATCTTTAACTGTATTAGAGACATGAATACGAACTTCAATATTTAATTTGAATCCATAGACATGCATGCCAACCATTACTCATACGTACTTTTCACTAAAATGCTTCTCCAGCATACTATTGCTATAAGGAAGCATAAGAGATGTCTGAAGCATGTCTGGAACATAAATGACAACTGTAAAACTTGACTGTTCAAATGATATCATTCTTTATATTTGACGAAGACATGCAACAGAATCATATGATGTTTATCATTCATGTCTCTGTGGATTGGACTATAACTCATTAAGCTAATTCTTCATCGATCATATCTTAATCAGATGGAATTTCCAAGTCCTCTATTTTCATTTGGCTCCTCCTGACTTGTTGCTTTTTGAAAAAGACCTCTTAAAGACACAACCATGTGATCTCAAAGAGCCCTTGTCTTCAAGTAGGCCCTATCACATAATCTCTCATCCACCAGTTATTGAAGGAAAATACAAATCCATTCATCTATACATACTCATACTTGCATGGATCAGAAGCAACACAACTCTACAACAATGTCCTCAAGCATCTAAATTTGAGCACTTTCTTCTAATCCTCTTAAACACAGAAAATGGGCTTTCGTTTGCCAGGAACGAGAAGGGCTTCATTTGCCACAAAAGTGGCTTCTTCAAAATCATGTGAAGTGCCAAAGGGATATCTTGCAGTCTATATTGGAGAGGAAATGAAGAGGTTTGTGATTCCTATATCTTACTTGAATCAATCTTCATTTCGAGAGCTGTTGAGCCAAGTTGAGGAAGAATATGGATATGATCATCCAATGGGCGCTCTCACTATTCCTTGCAGAGAAGATGTCTTCATTAATGTCACTTCTTCTTTCAACAGGTGCTAGCTGATAGAGACAGGATACACATAGATTTGCCACCACAATTTCGTACTCTATCATTTTGCTTTGTAAAGAACTTTGTTCTTTAAATTTTCTTTCCTTACTTGGGAAGAGAAAAATTGTATACCAAAATGAGGAATTTATGAAGAAAATTTTCAACTTTATCTTCAGGCATTGAACTTTTAGTTCAGGACACAAAGGGTTTTTTCTTGTAGAAAAATTCAGCAAAAAATTAGATTCTTGAATATAGTAAATTCAAATAAAGATTTTGCTTGAAGTTAATAAAAGTATCTTTATATAAGTGCAAGCAAATTAATCTATAAGATTCTTAAGAAGACTTAGAAAATAGTTTTATTGATACTCAAAGTGATTTTTTAATTCCTAGAGATTGAATTTAATTTTAGCACAATAATAATTTCTTGTACGGGAAGAGTTGAAAATTCATTGACATTTTAGTCTTCAACGATATCATCAGTTTATAAAAATATGGATTTCAATTCAATGGTTTGTCACCCTCAAGATGTCAAGATGTTATCTATCTCTCTAATAATAGTTGTCTCGACAGTTGTAATGCACTCTCATTATTTAACATCTTGAGCCCTGGAAAGAATATTAGAGACAATATGATGTGATTTCTTATGGTCCTTCTCGCTCTGTAACATCTTATTTCTTGACCACAAGAAAACATCTTGAAGCATTATCCGAGCTCGATTTCATATATTTTTCCACGTATATAATTTGATTATATTGAACATATACTTTCCAACATATACCATGACTTTTGAAATCAAACAGATATGTTCTTGTGAGGTCTAAGTTTGTCGTGAGAATCAAGTAAAAATAGATAAATATAAGCTAATTCCTAGAGAGCCGAGGGAAAATGTTAACTTCATCAAATGTAAACTGTAGCTCCATGGGTTCCCCTGTCATTGATTGTTGAAAGCTTCTTGTTCTGCTATTGAATTACACAGTTTTATTAGAGATATGAATAAGAACATAGGTAGTATAGGCTCTAATTGTTCTGTAAATTTATTTACAGGCAATTAATTAAAGGTGGGAATGGACAACTACAAAATGCATTTTTCCTGGTATATCTATAGTCGTCTTTAACTATTTATTAATTTGATTATACTGAAAAGATACTTTCCAGCATAATCATTAATTAGTTGATTATTGCCTTAACTTTGATCCAAGTGTGTGAGTGAACCATGAATTTTGAAGTCAAACAGATTTGTTCAGGTGAGGTCCAACAAATAGATAAACAAAATTAAGCTAATTCCTAATTAAAATTTAAAGGGCAGCGAGAAAATGTTTAGTTCATCAAATGTACACTATAGCTCCACCGGTTTGATCTGCTATTGAATTTCGCAATTTGATTAACAAGAACATGAAGCCTGGGAAAGAAAAATTGTTTTGTTCATACGACTTCCATCAATAACTTAATTAGCAATCTCATCAATATTTTCAAGTCTTTATATATTTAGTTTTCAGTAAGAATGTGCCAAGAAAAAATATTCCCCTTTGAGATAAATTTCCAGATATTTCATTAACCTGATCCAAGAAGCATGTTTATTGCAATCCTGTAAGCTAAGGCACTTTCCAAAAGCTCAATACTTACTCTTTTCAACTGAATGCTACTCCAACATGTCTTAGTAGGACTAATGAAGATATAGGAAAAGCCTAAGAGATGTCTTAAGTATGTTTGTAACTTGACATGACAACCATAAATTTCTTTCAATAGACGTTAAGCTTTTGAGAAGTTCCAATTATTCTTCTTGAGATTTGAGAAAGACATATATAAAACAATATCATGTGATCCTTGTCATCAAGATGTCTCTGGACTATCTTCATTTGGCTCATCCTGACTTGTTATTATTATTATCATTTGAAAAAGACCTCCGAGACAGCATCATGTGATCTCTATATGCCCTTGTCTTCAAATAATATAATTAACCCCTATCTCCACAATTCATCTATATATACTCATACTTCTATGCTTCCAGAGGCAAGAAACACAAGTATTTCACAATACTCTCTGGCATAAACATTCAAACATTTCCTTCTTATACCTCTTACTCACAACAAAACAATGGGTTTTCATCTTCCTGGAGTCAAAAAAACTTCAAAATCTGGTGAAGTGCCAAAGGGATATTTGGCAATATATGTCAGAAAGGAGATGAAGAGATTTGTGATTCCTATATCTCACTTGAATCAACCTTCATTTCAAGTGTTGTTAAGTGAAGCTGAAGAAGAATTTGGACATGATCATCCAATGGGAGCTCTCACTATTCCTTGCAGAGAAGACATTTTCCTGAAAGTCATTTCTTCCAAGGAATGCTAGCTAGCATGAAAAGACAACATTAACAATTAGATTAGTCAACACAATTTTGTAAAGAAGACAAGTTAGATAGTGATTTTGCTATGTAAAGATTTCCTCCCTCTTTTTCTTATTATGCTTGGGAAATGACAAATTGTATACATCAGATGAGAAATTCATGAATAGACAATTTTTTACGTTATATCAATCAATTTTGAACATCAAAGGCATTGATATGATCTTTTAGTTTAGGCGACTGAAAATGTCATATTCCTTAATCCAGCAAATTCAAAACAAGATTTAGTTTTGTGGGAACAAAGGCATTTCTATATAAGTTCAAGCATGTTAATCCCTTGAATTTCTTCGAAGAAATTTTAGGTTTATTTGGTAATAAAAAAAATTCTAAATTTCCTGGATAAATTATATTATGTTACTTTCTAATTTCAACTGTGTAATTAAATTCCATAAGGGTAGATCAGGAAACACCATTTATGTTTTTGTCACCAATAATAGTATCTAAACTAATAAAAATATGTGAACTAAATTCAATAGCTTGTAACATCGTTATCTAAATTCAACTTTCTAGCAACACTTAGCTTGTTTCATAATGGATTGTTGGGTTAAAGGGTGAAGCAAGTTTCTAGAAGTGTTAAAGGGTGCAAAATCACCATTTTCTAAATATTTTCTTAGTTAATTAATGGTTAAAGTTAATATTTATTAGTAGAAACAATATCATATCGTTTTAAAACATTGAAGGAAAATATTGCACCAAAAATGAGTTTATTAGGATCCTAGATGTTTCTAACTTATAGTTTAGTGACAAATTTACACTTTAACCTTAGATTATTTGTATCAAATACAATCTCCTTTGGTGCATAGCAACCATTAGATTTCATGAATATTTTGGCCTTCTTTATTTTCTTTTCTTTGCTTTCTTTCTTTCTTTCTTTGCTTTTTGTTTGGTTACCCAAGGTATCCCCATAATACTCCTTTAGTTTCTAGCCTCTGCAAGATTTTAAGATTTTAATCTATATCCTTTATTAAGTAGATGGCTTGATAAAGATATTTCTTGCTTTCGAAGTAGTTATATGTGCTGCAAAAGACGTATGTTACCAACTAGTTTGGTAGTAGTTTTCAAAATTGCTGGTGATTTTCTTTCTTTCTTTCTTTATTTTATTTATTTATTTATTTTTTGTAGCAGACCACTTCTTAACCTGAATCTATAGAAATGCCAACTTCTACTTATACTTTTAAATTAAATGCATCTCTACATGCTATCAGTTGAACTGATGAAGGAAAGCATATATATATATATATGAGATGTTTCAAGCATGTTTATAACTTCATATGACGACTATAAATTTTTTTTAGATTGACATTAAGCTTTGAACTGTTTCCAATGATCCATCTAGATATTTGACAAAGACATAAAGCACAATCATATGATCTTTCTTATTCATGTCCCAGATTGGACTTCACCTTATTCAGCCAACCATTCATCAATCATATATCCTCTCTTCATTTAGTACGTCCTGACTTGTTTCTTTCTGAAATAGACCACCAAGACAACACCATGTGATCGCTCGTGAGCTCTTGTCATCCAATAGGCCCTATCACATAACCTCACCCACCAAATTGTTCCATCTATAAATACTCATACTTGCATGTATTTTAGAAGCATAGCAATTCAACAGCAATATATTGAAGCATCTAAATTTGAGCTTTCTCTGATCTTATTCTCCTGAACACAAAATGGGTTTTCGCTTACCTGGAATGAGAAGGGCTTCATTTGCTACAAAGGCAGCTTCTTCAAAATCAAGTGAAGTACCAAAGGGATATCTTGCAGTATATGTTGGAGAAGAGGTGAAGAGGTTTTTATCCCCATATCTTACTTCAATCAACCTTCATTCCAAGAGTTGCTAAGTCAAGCATAAGAAGAATTTGGATTTAATCATCCAACGGGCACCCTCACTATTCCTTCCACAGAAGAAGTCTTCCTACATGTCACTTGTTCCTTCAATGGACGCTAATTATCATGCCAAGAAAAAACTAACATAGATTAGTTCATTCCACAGTTTTCAAAAGGAGGCAATTTAGATCCTTTGACTTTTTGTAAAGAGTTGCATTTTCCTATTCTTTCCAACTTGAGAAGTGGAAAATTGTTTATTCAAATGAGATGTTCTCAATCAATTTTGAATATTTAATGCATTCAACTTTGGATTTATGCTTATTTGAAGATTCACTCTATTGGTTGCAAACAGAGGAAAAAATATTATGGCTTTCTATGATAGAAATAATTCAATTTACTTTTATTGTTTCAACTCAGTATAAAGCAACATGTAGCCAGCATCATTTTTTCCTTTTTCTTAAATATATATATATATATATATATATTAAAACTGAGTTAGTATGACATCATTTGCCCAACGGAAAATTCAGAGTTATGGTAATCAACTAATGCCTAATGGATGTGCTGTATAGTAGCTCTTCAATATCATCAAATTAATAATATATTTAAAGACTCTTCAAAACGGAAAAATAAAAATAGAAACTCATATTAAGTTTCGATATACGAAGGGACAATGACAATAAGAGATCATATGATGTTGTGTCTTTGAGGTACTTTTCAAGGATCAAGATGTTAAAACACAATTCATAAAATTTCAAGCCAACTCATAAGAGAGATAGATTAAGATTTGATGGGTGCATTATTTGCCATAATGTTTCGAGACAAGACCGCGTGAAGAGTGCATGACAATCCGTTCCATATCCTGCCGTGGATACCAAAAACAAAATGGACCATAAATTATTAAATATCTATTCAAACTTCTAAATTTTTATTTTGACATGTGTCATGTTACTCAAAACTTGATTATTAATTAAGTGGCCAAAATGCATCCAAATCTATAAAGAAACAAAGTGGACCAAGAAGGTTCAATAATAGACGTTCCAAGTCTAACCGACTATTGAACAGTTCACATATATCTAGCAATTGGATCATATCGTTGAACATATGGTAACATAAATGATGTTACGTCTTCTTTATAAAATATAATTATTGAGTTGAAATTAAAAGTTCAATCGATTTTACCTAGGAAATATAATATCATTCGTTTGTGGGAATGATTCTATGAAGACAAGGAAAAAAATAGATGAAAAAAGGTATGCACGATGTCTTTAAGGCATGGGCATGTGCAGCACTTTCCTTGTGACTTAATTTGCTTCCACATATTCTAATCTTCATGTGCAAATTGAGTTGCTGGTGAATTTCTTATAGGATATAATGAAAACTTTTGAGTATAAGACACTCTCAAGACTCTAGCTAAGCTAACAATAATATTTATTTTAAAATAATAATTTGACTTTATCTTTGATACAATTCTTAAAGATAAAAACAATGGGTTTAGATATTTGGATAATAGAATAAGTTATAGTGAGGGTCGGGTATTCAAAGACAATAAAGTGATGATTCAGAGTCATGCTTTAAAAAAAAAAGAGTAACATTTTTTAATATGTAGATTTTTTTTTAATAATATTTCCTTTCATCACTAAGTGGTGTCTCTATAAATTAGAGAGACATGATCTTGGTGACTTTAAATATTATAGCTCTCTAAATAATCATTCATAAAAATTCCTTAGTTTATAAGAACATGTTTTTTTTTTTTTAAGAAGACACCTCTTCATTTTGAAAATATTCCAACATCATTTGGGATATTAGAAAAAGCTTTTTTTTTTAAAAAAAATCTTCATAATTACCATTTGAATCTTATAGAATTGGGATTGAGGACGTGAAAGAAAGAGTGGAAACCTGAAAATCATGTTTCGTATGTTGATACCTTGGAGCTAGCGAGTTCTGGACTTGAAATACTTAAATAAATAATCTAATATTTGTTCCCAATTTTACTGTAAATTCATAAAAACTCAACTCATAGTCATCTAAACTAAAAAGGTTAATTGCTTTGATATTGATAATTGATTGAGATAAAGTGAAAATTTCTATTTATCAATTTCTCGTTGAGATACAAAATTTTCCACTTCCCAAGTAGGGGAAGAAAAATAAGAACAAAAAACCTTACAAAGAGCAAAAAGACCTACATTTCTCCACTAATTACAAAATTGGTTTTGACCAACCTAAAATCACTCTCTTCTTTGTTAGCTAACACCTATCGAAGGAAGATGTAACACTGATGAAAAACATCTTCTGTGCAAGGAATAGTGAAGCGCACCCATTGGATGATCATATCCATACTCTTCCTCGGCTTGGCTTAATAACTCTTGAAATGAAGGTTGATTCAAGTAAGATATAGGAATCACAAACTTCTTCATTTCCTCTCCAATGTACACTGCAAGATATCCCTTTGGTACTTCTCCTGATTTTGAAGAAGCCCTTCTAATCCTAGGTAAATGAAAACCCATTTTCTTATGCTTGTAGAGAAAAAGAAAGTGCTCAAACTCAAATGCTTGAGGATAGATATAGTTGTGGAGTTGCGTTTCTTATGAAATACATGCTTGTATTTATAGATGAGTGGATTTGCTTTCTTACAATAATTGGTGGGTGAGAGGTTATTTGTGATCGTGACTATTGGAAGACAAGGGCTGTTACAGTTCACATGGGTTTGTCTTAAAGAGGACTTGGATACCCATTGTTTGGGATATGAGTGGTAAAGAGTTAGCTAAATGAGCTGTAGTCCATTCCTTGAGACATGCTTGAATAATTGAAAGCATAATGTCTGTGTGAAGAATTTTCTAGTTGATATCTCAAGATATGCTTGAGACACTCCTTAAGATTCCTTTTCCTTCATCAATCCTATCGAGAGCATGTATCTTAAGCACGTCAATAAATGCAACTAACATCGTAAAAGCCTTTTGATAGACATTATGCTTTAAGAACTTTCAATGATTCTTCTTGACAATTGAGAAAGATGTAAAACAATATCATGTGATCCTTCCCATCCCTGTCCTAGCACTACAATTCTTAACTAGCCCTTCTTCAATCATATCTCAAGCAAAAGGATTTTGTAGTCTCCTCTCCATTGGGCTCATCCTGACTTGTTGGTTTTTGAAAAGACCTTCTAATACAATACCATGTGATCTCTGTATGATCTTGTTTCCAATAATTATATTCCCTATCACATAACCTTTCTTCCACCATCACCGTTCATCTATATATACAA